AACTAGTACATTGACAAATTTAACAAACAATTAATAAGTTAAACATAAAACGAAATGTTAACGAGATAGGTACAATAATAATTTAAAAAATTCGACTCAAATATTCCGTCCTCAGCGAATATTGCGCATTGGGTCGCGCCGATTTCACGCTTTCGGACACATAATCACCTCAAACTGTTCCAGTTCTGGAATTCGAAATTCTTGGATATGACAGTTTTTTTTTTGTGATGAAGGTATGTAACAATATATAGGATAGGAAGTTTTGGATGGATGTGCAAACGCGGTCGGGGGGCGAAAGCTGTGCTCGAGCGACGGAGCGGGCGGCGCGGCGCCTAACGCGAGACTGCCGCCCGCCCCGGACGCGCCGAAGCCGGCCGCCCGCCCGCCGCCCGACAGCGCACGCCTTCGCCCTCCGAACGCCAACAAAACACAGATTGCGAGCCATGAGTTTATTAGCCGACACGCTACTACGACAGCTATATACCAAACAATACTTAGCGTTCAAATTATTTGTCACGATAGCACATCAAAGCATTCTTAGTCTTCCACACGATGTTCTCGAGTTACACCTGAGTTATCTGAAGGCGCAGCTGCGGCATGCGGCGCACCGCGCGATGCTGAGGACGCACGCAGCAGCCTCCGAGCGCCCGCAGCCGACGGGTACACTCATTCTTCGACGGTATTTTACACCATCTCTTCCGCGAACTTGCACCGAATGTAGTCATCATCCTATCTCCCGGCTTCGACGTATCAAACACGATCTTAGGGCTATCGACACCCTCTGATCCTGGTGTGATTCGGCACTTGGCTCCCGTCATTGCTTTCTTAATTCCCTTTAACGCTCTTTGAGCTGCATTTATCTCTTCTTTTACTTCTAGCCCTTCATCACGAGGCACGATCTTCAATCGTCCGGGCGGAGAATCTTCAACAGGCTCGATGTGACGTCGTTTTATAAGGAGTCTTAGTCTGTCCAATATAGTTGGGGGTGGGTCGGTATTCGTTCCGATAGTACAGAGACCAGGTCTGTAGTCGCGGTCGTGGTCGACTGTCGTTGAAACATACGGCTGTTCATGTAACGAAGTAGCACGTCGTAGTTCCGGTTCGTCTTGTAAGTAGGCGATGTGCAGGGTACTGATACTCATTGGTTGGCGAGGCGGGGGCCAAAGTTCCCTAGTAGGTGGCACAGGCGCGGGCCTTTCGCCTAGCATGCGTCGCGCCAGTTCGCCCGGCTGCCACAGGCAGCTGGTCGACAAGTTTTCGTGTGTATGCATCACGAGCCAACTGATCACTAACGGCACGCGAACTCGTTTGCTAATCCAATACCAGGCATTGTGCACTTGACAGTATTCCCAAGAGGTAGAATACGTAATAAAACATACCTTTATAAGGGATTTCATAATTGGATAAACGGTAGTGTTCGCAAACGTTCAACATTTCGCACAAGGTTTGTTTATTAGGCAGTATGTACACGTTTTTTTATAATGTTTATTTATAACGTTAATAATAATATCGCGTGAAAATAACCGTTAGCATAGGTTATGTTAGTTGGTTTAACATAACCTATTCTAACGGTTATTTTCATAAAAACCCAATTCTTTCAAATATAATTCAAACGTATTATATAATAAATTTGGCTTTTTTAAACACGATATATGACATATAATATTAGGGATACACTAATACAATATTAACCAACTTTAAAGACACAAAATTTTCTCACCAGCGCGCTTCATTTCTCTTTATGCACCTTAATATAAAAAAAAAACTGACAGGTTTTGACGACAAATGAATACTATTAGAAAAAGTATAACGCTAAATTGCACTTTTGATGTTTATTAGAAATGTCAGACCTGAAGACTTAAGAATTTGCTTGCGGTGACATCATCATCACAATCATTACATTCCGTCACAAGTCCACTGCTAAACATAGCACACACCAAGGAATTCCTCAAAACATGGTCCTAAGTCACCTGGATCTATCGACTTCTTGCGTCGCTTACCAGGTCTTCACTCTTTCTTGTGGCTATATGGCCGGACCATTTCCACTGTAGCTTTCTGATACGTTGGGCTATGTCGATTTCTCTGGTTCTGTGGATATCCTCATTACAAAGTTGCGATAGACATCATAATGTGAGAAGTGGGCGACTTTGAGCTTTCTTAAACGACCGCAGTGAAGGACTACGTCTCAGATCCATGTGTCATCACTGACAACACGCATTGATTAATTACGCAGAGGACATGGTTCTGTTTAACCCCTTAGTCAGCGGGCTTCGAAAGTTGTTAAGAATTTGTGAAGAATATGCCGAGAAGACTGGACTCAGTTACAACTCAAAAAAGAGTGAATTTATTGTCTTCAGAGGTAAAAACAAACCACTTGATTTCAAACCACGTATGCAACTATGTAGGACTCCTGTGAGACAAGTAGTTTAGGTACCTCGGACATATTGTAACTGAACACCTGGATGATGACAGCGACATTGAATGAGAGCGCCGAGCGCTGTCATTCGCGTAGTACGACTCAAGTAAAGTTAAGTCAAGTTACGCGGCGCTCAACTGCAGCCTTTGTTCTGCTGCGGGAAGGCCAGCAGAGCACGGAGTAGGCGAAGGGGCCTGTGGGGTGCCTGCCAGCAGGGCCGAAAAGAAAAAGGAAAAGAAGAGGAGCACTAAGCCTGCCGGATTAACCTCGCCGCCCCCGCAGGCTAGCAGCTCCGCGGCCGACTCCCGGCCCAGGACCGTTGCCAAGGGAATGGAACGTCAGTAACGGCATAATTCCATTTTCTCCAGGGCTACATCAACCACTGTGCCAGAGCTCAGGATCTCCTACTACAGAGCATGGCAGAGTGGTCGATTCACGTGGCTGTGGTCGCCGAACCGTACTTCATTCCCGCCCGTGACAACTGGTTGGGATGCGCTGACGGTTTGGTGGCCATTATTGGCGAGACTCTGATCGACCCGTCTCGGGGCCGAGGCTGGGTTGCTGCGATCTCGGGCGGTCTTTGTTCAAGGCGTATTGCCAATCCTTTTACACGTGCAGTCTGTGGACTGACTATACGCTGCGAGCCTACAGTACAACAATGTGCTGAGGGTGATGTTAAGAAGGCCTCGACACTGCAGTGCGTCGGCTATGTTTGCGAATGCTCGTGTGGACGACTTCTATGCGATCATGCGCAAGCGTGCCGCGTCCATGATGAGCAGGCTATTGAGGAGCTCCAACACCCTGCTCAGCGTATTGGCTGTGAAGCTGGGGCTATCCAGCACTGAAGGACTTGGAATGGTGCACACACCAGCACCAGGAGAATCCCACCTGGTGTTCGCTATGTGAGGCTGGGTGTAGGTTAAGTTGCTAATATAAGATAAGTACCATCGCTACTAACATTTGAATATTAACCTCTATTTTATTTTAAACTAACATTAGGCTAAGTAAGTTTTACTAATAATCTATCCTATTGTTGGTCTAACTAAAGGATTTATTATTATTTATTATATTATTGATTGTACACTTTTATTTTCAAGTTTTGAGTTAGTTGTGACTAGAACATGTGCCGTAATCTCCCGAACGCTGTCCAGCCGAGTTGCATCCGCCCATTGACCTATTAGTCGAAGTTGGATTTCTTATAACAGACAATTTGTCCTATGTAAACATAATCATCAAATACTTCGAGCATAATGCTTCCAACAACTACCGACATAGATGTAATACTGACGTTGCGGCCTAAATTAATATAAAATTATCATAAACATATGACGCTAAAGTTTCCACAAAACTTAAGGTTTAGCAAGCTAGCCAAGCTTATCCTACACAACCTTGTTTAACCTGGCCGTGTCTACTACACCACGATGACAAATAACTGCTATTTTTAGAGTTCCGTACCTGGAAAGGAAAAAACCCCTTTTCTCAGGAACGCGTGGAGGTATCAAGCTGAAATTCATATCAAATATAGAAAGTCTACTGTCTAGTAGTGAGCTGTGAAAAAATCAAACTTCTAAGCCAACGCAATCAAAAGATACAGCCGTTTACGCCGCAAATTTTTGACATTCTCAAGGGAATCAAAACCTACAGTGTACCTCCCGTGAACTCAGAATCTTAAAATTTGGTACGAAGCAACGTATTATAGCACATATAAAGGAAAAATTGCGAAAAGCATAAATTTTTAGTTACATCATATAATAAAAATATTTTTAATAATTTTAAACTTATATACCTACGGATTTGTTCGGAACCCTCAGTGCGCGAGTCCGACTCGCACTTGGCCGGTATTTTTATTGTTACATTTTAAACATTATTGTTTCATTAAAAATCCACTGCTTAACAAAGGCCTCTCTAGTTGCCACGCTTGGTAGTCAGGTAGCAACTGCAGTTTTTTTATTATGAGTTATTATCAAGAAGATATAGCTGCTCATTTCTTCTTTCATTTCCCTCTGTTAGCCTATTACAACACCCATGGGATAATATGTGTAGTTGTTCTCTTATGCCAGTACTATACGAAAATTTTCCTTTTTTCTAGTGAGACAAACTGACAAATGAGCACACAATCCACCAGATGGTAAGTGGTTGCTGTGGCCTATAGACATCTATCCTCGATTACAAATCAAAATATAGATGCATTGTCACCCCGTGAGGACTAAGATCGAATGCCTTGTTTCCCGTAAAACAGGGTCTCTGGTTTTCTACACTCACAATACGAAACAGCAGGGTTAAGCTGCTATTGCTTGTATTCAGAATGTGGTTCTTTCCCGGTCGAGCCGACCCATTCGTGCTACAACTTTACTACTAATATAGCTGCAGCATGGCTCTACCCTGTAAAGTACTGTGGTGTGATATCATTACATATATTTATAGCATACAAGACCATAAAAGTACACACAAACATACAAATATTGGAATACACACTGAAACAAACACTTGTTCAAGAAATATTCTTATTCCCAATTATTTGAATGTGAAAGAACTTATACGCATTTATTTGAAAATAACTAAAAAGATGCACATTATTACATACCTTTAAAGGCCGAGTAATGGTGACTGTCTCTATCATAGTAGTTGACGCCATTGTGTTAGACGTCCCCATTCCTGAAAATAAATGAATATTAACAGTTCCAGGACAGTTAAAAAAGTTTTTTTTAATCATATATTACTTAGGTAGCTTATTTGAAAAATAATATACATCAAATTACTTGAAAACTAAGGCTAAGTAAGCACTGAAGTTTTTCCCATAGGCCTTAGCTGAGTGGAGAGTATTTGGAACAAGAGCATTAGTTTTTTTTTATAGAATATGGGTGACAAACGAGCACACAGTCCACCTGATGGTAAGTGGTTGTTGTGGCCCATAGACATCTACATCTATTCTCTATTATGAATCAAAATGCACATGCGTTGTCACCCATGAGGACTAAGATTGAGTGCCTCATTTGCAGTAAAAAGGGTCTCTGGTTCTCTACACTCACCATAGGAAACACAGCAGCGTTAAGCTGCTATTTTACGCTGGTATTCCGTGAGAGTGTGGTCCTTCCCTGGTCGAACCTACCCATTCGTGCTGCAACATACCAATAATATAGCTGCAGCATGACGCTGACGCTTTGCCGGGCAGCATGCTGGTCACTCAATTTCTACTTTCTATACTTAATTATAAATTAGTTGATGGGAAACTAAATGAAGACTGAGACTTCTGAATGTGCAGGAAATAACACCAGACTAAAAAAAAAGTTTGATATTTGCAAATGCAAGATGGGTATGGCATGATTGGGTTAAAACAGTTATATTTTTGCAATATGCCTATGCTCCAATTAAATAGTATTATTGTTTCTTTTAAATACATTAATCACATACAGAATAGAAAAAATCCTTCTTTGTACTTTCTATGTTCATATCTATAAAATGCTTAATAAGCAAACAACAGCTTGAAAATAGTCCCATAGAGAAAAGAAAAAGTTCTTAGTTTCTCATTAATATTTAACAGCATCATTTAACAACAACATTTCCCATGTTGCTCTGTAGCTCCCGTGTTTATGTGGGACTTCTAACAAAAAAGATTTTTGTTTTATAGAATAAGGGTGACAAACGAGCACACAGTCCAGGTAAGTGGTTGCTGTGGCCCATAGACATCTACATCTCTCTTCGTTTGCGAATTAAAATGCAGATGTGTTGTCAACCGTGAGGACTAAGATAGAATGCCTATTTTCCAATAAAGAGGGTCTCCGGTTCTCTACACTCACCATACGAAACACAGCAGCATTAATCTGCTATTTTATGCTGGTATTCCGTGAGAGTGTGGTCCTTCCACCCCAACTTGGACAAGTTAGGTTCGAAGGGGATAGTGGGACAATTTTTTTCTCAGCACCTGTGGTTTTGCTCAATTTGCTAATTTCAAAATTACATTAAAAAGGTTCTATTTTACCAAAAAAAAAACGATTACACAAGTGGAAATCATTACACAGCACTTCCTAGCTTATCTAAAGTCCAATCCTGAACATTGGCCTATAGATTGCCCATATCTGCCTCATAGGGGATATATTTACCATAGTTACCACACTTGGTATGTAGGTTGGCTGGCAACCAGTTTTATATTATTTGAGTACTTAGCATGAACATGCTAATCCCCACATTGTTTCAGTTTCCCTTTGTAGCATCCCTCGACACCCATGGGATGATATGGGGGAGTGAATTCTCTTACACCACCATACATAGAAAATAATAATAATGTTATTCCCCATACTTATAAACTATATAATTTATGGGGAAAACGGTGTTGTAATTATTACCAATACCTGAATTTTGAAATTTAGTAATATCAAAGTGTATAAATAGAAGTACAAATGGAGTATAAACTGAAGCACTCTTTAAATCACTGTTCACTTCTCAATCCAAGCAGTCTTTACTAGAATATAAATTAAATTAGGATTATTTAAAAATTATATTAAATTATTATAACTATATAATTTTAGGTAAGTTTATTAATAATTAGGTTAATAATCTAATCTTATCAGCCGCCTGCAAATAAGCCACTGCTGGATTATTGCTCAAAGGATTAATAAAATATTATTTTAACAACTATTTCAATATTAATTTAATAAAGTAACCTATGAGCCACTGTACCTCAGGACATGGCAAGTGCTTGTCTTAAAATTAACTAGCATGAGAATTAGCTAAGTTTAATCCCTACCAATGCAATTATTAATGGGTATTTTAGGTACTGATTTCACACATGCTCAATGGGTTACTTTTTATGTAGCCTTTATATGTTCCAATGCTAAGCACAAGTTTCATTTTATTAACTAAAGTTCAAACATGACATACACAGAAGTTATAACTTGATATGTAGGATTGTGAAGATTTGTAAACACATAACAGAAATAAAAAAAAAAACCCGTTCATTAATATAGTAACAATAAATGTTAATTACAATTGAGTTTATTATGTAATTTTAATAGGTTTCGGTACGAATTAAGAGGCTAAATGTAGTTTAGTACTTATTTGTATTTCTTTTGTAATTCACTTTTACATCTTCATTGACTTTTCAACATGATTTTCAATAACAAAGATACACATTTTTACGTTTTACTATTTACAAGAAATGTATCTAAATTAGGTAAATAATAAAACTTACATGAAAACAACACTGAATAATTATCGATTGAATATTATTTTCAAATGACACTGTAACTATTCAACAGGGATTTTGAAAAATTGGTTAAATGCACAATACACACGAAAACAAAGAATGTAAATACAATTTTAATACGTAAGTTCCCATTTCACAACACAACACAACTCATTGATATAATTTATAATAACTCATAAATAGAAATAGACACAGTCTATAGTCATTGTATCGAAGAAGCTTGGCATAAATTGAAAATTTGAAAAATCTATGAGTAACTTAGCATTCCCACCACAGACTAACTACTAGTAGATTCTACGATTCTACTCGAACCCGAATCAAACGGACATCTCACGAACTAAAGCTAAACTGAACCACAGAACACTAATACCCTAACTGAACTAAACCAAAGAGTAGTAACTGTCCTATACAGGAAAACTAATCTTACTAAGATTAAGATACTATGTCTATGTCTTACCCACAGAATACTAATACCCTTAGGCGGGGGTCTTACCTAGCTTGCTACATATATATTTATCTATGGTCTTACCTACTCGACTAAGCTTCTGCTTTCTGATTGGTTGTAGCAAAATGATATGTGACATTTCTTTTTTTTTATTTGATGTAACTATACCAGGCAACGGACGTCCCAAATAATAGCCACTTGAAAAATTAATTTTATTATATTGAAAATAAAAAGAGGTAAATACAAATGAAACAATGATGAAATTTACTATTTTTTTATTAGTAATTAATATTTACTTTACAATAATTTTGTTTACAAAGAACATCGGTCAAATACGACCTGAACAAAATATGAAACGACCATCAATGATTGATACGTCGAAAAATTGTGACTTATTGGGTCCAGCTTAATTTATTGGAGCCGGAAAATAATTAAGCTTTTAAATAAAAACCTCATTTCCTTACTACTTTTTATAAGTTTTGAACGCATCTAAACGTCCCGTTTTTATCTGTGGTGCCTACACGTTTCATCATAACATTAAAATAACACTACGATTATGCCTTTACTTTTTTTTAATACTAGATTTTATTGTAGATTTTTTATTTGTTTTGTAGTGTATTATCAATAATATCATTTTTAAATGTCTTTTGTCTTTTAAGCTGACCTCTAAATCCTAAAAACTTAGCATGTGACGCATCAACATATTGCAAATAATTTTATAAACTAAGTAACTTTCAGTTAGACTGTATAGGCTGAGATAACTTTGCCAGTAGTAATAAAAACATAAAATGTCAAAGGTGTCTTAGATATATATATATGGAGTGTAGAGTAGAAGGAGAACCATCTTATAAGGTGCGAAAGTTGAAAAAGTGTCCCAATATATACTGAAAATAGAGGTTCCAAAACCTACCACAATAGCGCTGGCGTCTGAAAAACTACGATATGAATATAGCTGTTGTAGACGGAGTGAAGTCAGCTGAATTAAAATATTTAAAAAATTTCATGACTAGAGTAGTTAGTAAAATGCCTGTATACAAAACCTCAACTATTTACGTAGTACAAAACCAAGCGGATTGGTGGGTTCTTGTTTATTTCTCCATCTTATTCAAATAAATTTTAGCGCTTTTTTTTAAATTTATCCTATGCTACTGCAGCGCTACCCTTATTGGACGTGTTTTTAGGGACACTTTTCATATACAGAGATGGTCCTCCTTCTACTCTACACTCCATAAATATATAACAGTGAAAAGATTAGATACATTACATACTGCAAGAGCACTGATTCGTTTTTGTGGTTTTAGCCAGACTTCTTACATCGTAACCTCAAAAGTGACAATATACATAAGTGTAAAGTTCTATGATCCTCGGCTTTTAATTAATATATATTTCAATTTAGAATTGAGATTGTGCCCATAGATAAATATATATGTAGCAAGCTAATTGTGCCTAAAGGAACGGATCAATCTATACACGAGTCATATTCGCGATATTTTATAGCCAGGTCACAGCATGTATGGGGCGTCACCGATGTTCTTTAAAATGGATAAATATCAATATATGATTCACCAGTTTCACCACTTTCATTACTCACTTCCCTTTCATGTCCTTTAAACAGGCTCTTTATTTTTAATAATTGTGCACTAACATCATCTTCACAATTAAAAGATGAGCGGTAAACGGTAATGAATCCTGTATTTAATAAAGATTTAAAAGCATTTATGAAATAGTGGCAAGTCGGGTTATGGTACCTAAACTTTCATTACTCACTTCCCTTTCATGTCCTTTAAACAGGCTCTTTATTTTTAATAATTGTGCACTAACATCATCTTCACAATTAAAAGATGAGCGGTAAACGGTAATGAATCCTGTATTTAATAAAGATTTAAAAGCATTTATGAAATAGTGGCAAGTCGGGTTATGGTACCTAAAATTGAATGATCTTATTTCACCGGAAAAGTTTTCGATAGCAACCGAATTTATGGAGCGG